CCACAACGCACTCACAACCCACGCCCTAAGCAAAGCTCAATGTGCACTTGACAAATGAGCGCTTGACCTCACCTCATAGGTTGGGTGCAACGCTTTCGCACAGAACGACGGGCCAACGGCCATAAGCTGTGCGGTTGTGGGCTTGTGGTGGAGCATGTTGCGCAGCGTTGTTGCCCTTCAAAGCAAGGCTGCAGGGCGAGCAATGGGGGCGAGCAACATCAAAGTGAATGCCGCAGCTGTGAGTGAATGCCGCAACAAGAAAGCTGACTTGTCAAGGGCCGAGCATGCCGCAGGGCGCGCTGTCACCTGCAACATTTCAAAACGAGGAAGTAGCAAGATTCATGCAACACCTAGGGTGATATCACGTCGATGTGCGTAGGCAACGTCCTGCAGGATGCCCCCCACGGGGCGCCCACTCTTACCACGTCATAGGCGCTCGTCGCTTGTGACCCTGAGTCGGAGGGACGACTTGCCGGCGCTGTGGACAGTAGCAAAATATGCTGGCCGTGAGACAGGTGGAGAGGCGAGGGCAGGGACGAAAGGGGCAAGTTAGGCCCGACGATGTCAGTCGACCAAGTTGCCAGACATGGCAGCACAGATTGCACTCCAGCTCAAGGCGCATCCTGCCGAAAAGTGCAGGCATGTACGCCAACACATTTGCAGCCGTGCGTCGCACCAGAAACACCCACACAGCACCCTGCCTCCAAGCACCCTGCAGGCTCAAAGCAGCAGTGCCTGCCGTTGGTGCAAGCCACAGCGAGCCGCGACAACTTCGAGTCGATAATTCGACCTGCCACACCTGATTGGCATTGAGATGTATTATGCAAGTGTGGTCCTAGCCGGGCCTTGCCCCAGAAGCTGATGGCACTGCAGGTATGGGCAGGGGATGGGAGGCAGCGTGTGGGTGGCAGCCGCCAGTGCAGATCGTGGCGGCGCTTTGGGTTTGGGCACCGCAGTCATGCTTGATACACGTCTCAATCGTGGCTCATACCCAAGGCCACTTGAATCCCTGACGGCTCTCGTTCAAGAGTGCACCGTTGAGATGTGCATGGCTGCTACGTCCCAGAAGGGTATTGTGCGGGGCGGCGGACACTATACAAGCTACTTGAGAATGTGAATAGCACATCGAAGCGGGCGAGGGCCCGAGTGCGCAGCGGAGTGGGCATGACAGGCTCCGCAGACCTTGTTGGCGTTCCTGGCGGGCTGTATTGGAAGAAACAGCAAAAGTGAAACAGTAGGGTGGACATCACAACTGATTTGTGGTGGCATGCGGAGCAAATGGAGATCAACTGGCATCGCACCCTTTGAACTGTAGCCCCAGATCATCAGTCACCACGAAGGCTCGAGCTGCCAGCTTTGAAGGGGCATTGATGCTTAGAGATTGGACATATATAAATGGGATGGCTTGCATCTTGCAGGCCGCACCCTGCGATTCTCTGTCGGCATCAGGTCGGCGTGGC